CTTCAAACCATGATCCTCAGATCTCATGCTTCTGCATAGCTAGGATTACAGGCATGAGCCACCAGCATGCAGCAATAGTAAGGATTTTTGAGCTATCTTTTGCTTTCCCCATAGAGGAGGATAAGTGAAGACATCATCTTTTCTCTCTTAAGCTTTTTGGATTCTTAATCTGGTTTGAGAATTGATGTGATGTCTGGCTCTGCAGCTGCCATCTTGCAAGCTTGAGGTGACAAGCTGGAGGAAAAAGCCACTCAAACATTTTAACTCAGACAAGATAAGATATCTACTAATATTTAAGTAGTTTTACTACTATCTATAGCCAATCCTTCCACTATACACCAAGCCAAATCTTTTTACCTACCAGGCAGATACTCTACTATCTGAATCACACCTCCAGTTCCCTCTTTACCTACTCAGCAATTCAACAATTCTCTGATCTCTCTCCTGCCTTGAGGCTTGTGCTGAACATCCAACACAATAAGTGAATAGAAGATTCACCTACCTGGACTCTACCACTGGAGAATTTTAGAATACTTGCAATAACAGAATTCAAAAGCTTCCCTAGAGTGGGGACAAAGACGGCTCATAAACACAGAGTCAGAAAGCAGAATAGTATTTGGGTTCTTTGTTGTTGTTTGTTTTTGTCAGTCATGGGGCTTGAACTCTGGGCCTAAGCCCTGTCCCTCTGCTTTCTAGCTCAAGGGTATCACTCTACCACTTGAGCCACAGTGCCACTTCCAGTTTTCTGGTGGTTTATTGGAGATAAGAGTCTCACAGATTTTCCTGCCCAGGCTGGCTTTGAACTGTGATCCTCAGATCTCAGGCTCCTGAGTAGCTAGGATTACAGACTTGAGCCACTGGTGCCTGGCTTTTGATTTGGGTTCTTAATGAGTCTTATCAGAAAAAAAAAAAAGAGCAATGTCTTCAACATTCAATAGAAAATTATTTTCAACTACTACAAAGGAAAAATATTTGACTAAACCATAAGCAATATGAACATATCAATAATGAAAATGCTATTAACATAATGGAGAATGTAATAAAAATTGTAATAAAAATGCAAGAGGAACAAAGAAAATTATAGGAAAGAATGTAAAGAAAAATTTCTTCTTGCTATAAAAAGAAGTTAATCAATATTAAGTTGATTAATGTCTGAAATTAGTTAATCAAGAAATATAGGGGCTGGGAAGGTGGCTCAGTGGTAGAGTGCTTGCCTTGCATGCATGAGGCCCTGGGTTTGATTCTTCAGCACCACATAAGCATAAAAAGTTAGAAGTGGTGCTATGGCTCAAGTGGTAGAGCACTAGACTTGAGCTGAAGAGCTGAGGGACAGCACCCAGGCCCAGAATTTAGGCCCCACGACTGGCAAGAAAAAAAGAAAGAAAGAATGAATGAATGAAAGAAAGAAAGGAGGAAGGAAGGAAGGAAGGAAGGAAAGAAAGAAAGAAAGAAAGAATTCAGCTGGGTGCCAGTGGATCACACCTGTAATCCTAGCTACTCAGGAGGCTGGTTCAAAGCAAGTCCTGGCAGGAAAGTCCAGGAGACTTTTATCCCCAATTAACCACCAAAAAACCTGGAAGTGGCACTGTGGTTCAAAGTGATAGGGTACTAACCTTGAGCAAAAAGCTCAGGGACAGCACCCAGGCCCTGAGCTCAGGCCCCACAACCAACAAGAAAGAAAGCTTGAAAGAAAGGAAGAAAAGGAAGGAAGGAAGGAAAGAAGGAAGGAAGGAAAGAAGGAAGGAAAGAAAGAAGAGAAAAACAAACATTCTATCCCTGGATGTGGTGTGGTGGTACATATGTGTAACCCCAGTACCTAGGAGGTTGAGGATCATGAATTTGAGGCCTGCCTGCAGTAGATCTTGTCTCAAAATAAATAGGGCCAGGAAGTGGTCCTATGGTTCAAGTGGTACAGCGCTAGCCTCGAACACAAAGAGACTCAGGGACAGCACCCAGGCACTCAGTTCAAGCCCCACAATTGACAAAAACAGAAGAAAAAAAAAAAAACAAAAACAAAAAACAACTTTGCTTCACTTTTGGGGCTGGGAAGGTGGCTCAGTGGTAGAGTGCTTGCCTCGCATGCATAAGGTCCTGGGTTCGATTCCTCAGTACCACATAAACAGAAAAAGCCAGAAATGGCACTGTGGTTCAAGTGGTAGAGCACTAAAGGGACAGTGCCCAGGCCCAGAGTTCAAGTTGCACAACCACCAGAAAAAAAAAAATAGGGCCAGGAATCTGTGGCTTGTGCCTGTAATCCTAACTACTCAGGAGGCTGTGATCGGAGGTCTGCAATTCAAAGCCACCCAGACAGGAAAATCCATAAAAAGACTCTTATCTCCAATCAGCCACCAAAATGCCAGAAATGAAGGTGTGGCTCAAGTGTCAAGTGGTAGAACACCAGCTTTGAGGAGAAAAAAAACAACAACAAAAGGGTAAGGCCCTGTGTTAAAGTCCCAGTTCCAAACCAAAAATAAATGAATAAATAAATGGAAGATAGGTAGATAGAACTTAAAAAGATAAATATATTATTTAGCAATTCAGAGTTAAATACCAAACAAAAGCTAAAGTTGAGAGCATCTGCTTTGAAGGATAGGATAAATTGCCTCTTTTCAAACTAAGCTTTTGAATATTAATTAGTATTAATTAATATTAAATATCAAATAAATTAATTGAGCTTAATTAATCATATGCATTGATTTTTAAATATATATTTTTTATTTTATTTTTGGTTGGTTGTGGGCCTTGAACTCTGGGCTTCGGCGCTGTCTCCAGCTCAAGGTGAGTGCTCTACCACTTAAGCCACAGCACCACTTCAGTTTTCTGAGTGGTTTATTTGAGATAAGAGACTCCTAGAGCTGGCGCCCATTGCTCATGCCTATAATCCTAGCTACTCAGGAGGCTGAGATCTGAGGATTGCAGTTCAAAGCCAGCCCAGGCAGGAAAGTCCAAGAGACTCTTATCTCCAATAAACCACTAGAAAAAAAAACGGAAGTGGTTCTGTGGCTTAAGCATTAGAGCACTAGTCTTGAGCTGAAGAGCTCAGAGACAGCGCCCAAGCCCAGAGTTCAAGCCCCACAACCAACAAACCAAAAAAAAAAAAGTCTCATAGACTTTCCTGCCTTGGCTGGCTTTGAACTGCAATCCTCAGATCTCAGCTTCCTGAGTAACTAGGATTACAGGCATGAGCCACCAGCACCTGGCAAACAATTTATTTTTAAATTATAGAGAAATATATTGAAAAATAAGAGCTGGAAAAAAGAAGAAAAAGTTAGTTATATTATTTAACAACATAAGGCCCTGGGTTTAACATATCTGTAGTCAGATTCATTTCAAGGAAGGATAAACATACTTACATGATTCTCAGTAGTCCCTGAATCAGGGCACAGCACAGAAGCATTCTTCATATACATAAAAAAAATAATAACATCATTAAGCCATGTGCTTATGTGCTTAATGATGTAACCTTAGCAACTGAAATCCAGAGAGTAGTAATTCAAAACCAGACTGGGTAGAACAGTCTACAAAACTACATCTCCAAAATAACTAGTAGAAAGTTATGTTCAAGGCATGGCTCAAGCAAAAGAACAAGCCAGGAGGGCTGGGAAGGTGGCTCAGTGGTAGAGAGCTTGCCTTGCATGCATGAGGCCCTGGGTTCGATTCTTCAGCACCACATAAGCAAAAAGAAAAAAGCCGGAAGTGGTGCTGTGGCTCAAGTGGTA